GGTGAGTAGCATATTTTAAAAAAAGAACGTTTAAGGTTGTTTTAAGGACAGGACAGGAGACAGGAGCAATTGTCAAACTTTTGGTGTCGATCATTCGATTTCATCCTGGACACTACAGAAAATGGGCTTAAAGTGTAAAAAACCGAACTTCTCCTTTAAGGAACTTGCTTTGTGCTTTGGTGAACAGTCATATTTGAAGAGGAAGGGCTTAGCCCCAAACTGTTCCCACAAAGTTGGGAGCATGGAATTGTCCAAAATGTCTTGGTATGCTGAAGCATTCAGAGTTCCTTTCGCTGGAACTAAGGGCCCCTTAAAACCAGTCTTAGAAGCAGTGGTGCGTAACACCACTGCATCCAAGACTTTGCATTGAACTTTGCGCACTTGGTTTATTAAAATTATCTGTTCAAAGGATTGATTAACCAGATCATTTATTCATAGAACTGCAGTTTTGATTTACAGTTTGGTTTAAACTTTTCCACATTTTCTTGCTTCTGCTGCATAAATCAAACTGAGTTAATGTGCTTTGTTGCAAATTAGAAATTTTCAACGTTTCTCTTCCAAGAGACTACAAGTAGAGCATCAGAAGTAGTATATTTAATGTTCCAAAAAATCTATATATACAACACATAACTTTTTTGGAGTTGGGGCCTCTGAAGTAATTTTAGAGAGCGAGTTTAACTTCCTCTGGGGAGACCTACTGAGTCCTGTGTTACTCTGGGGTTTTGGTTTCCAAACAGTTGGTAACTCTGAGTCAAATCAGCCTTAATTTAGTGGGGATATAACAAGCCTTCATCAATGTGAGGTACATAACATGATCCTCTGTGGAAGTGGGAGGAAATATGAAGCCTTGAATTGTGGATTTCTCTCCAGTGGAGCATTAATTATTAATCCTCTTTGGTGGAACATTCATTATCAACGACTGCATATGGATATAATTAAAACATATTTAACAAAAACAGTTATAATGTTGCTAGAATTATCCTGGAAGAGACCAGGTCAATAGAGTGTAATTCAATAGATGATTAAATTTGTGTTGTGCAATTTTACCAGTAGATTAAGAATATATAAAATAACTAGAAATTGAAGTCATAGTAAATTCATAGATCATTCAAATTGAGAGTAAAACCTATTAATGATTATTAGTTAAAATATTATAGCTGAATTCTACTTACTCACCAGGCTCTTTAGTCTTTCAAGGTTGGGATTCTGGACCTGCTGTTAAAATCCAGTTGTCTTTCACCAATTTATTGACTTAGACTACAAGCTATCAGCATAGTTTTAAACACCAACCACAGGGAATTCTCTCTGTTTCTTCAAGCACTAACCAAAAGGGTTGATCCATCTCTGAGTGTTATAAATAATCACAGGCAACCACAGTTATCTGTAACTTTATTACCTATTAATCTCTATTACAGTAATATTGTATCTAATAACTATGCAAACACTACACACTACTAACAATAAGCACAGGGTAAATTAAAGTCTAATAAAAATGGGAAATTCATTCTGTTTTACAGTAAATAATCAACAGACTCAGAAATGCATTAAAATATAGCAGTAGTGGGCCAAATGGTTTAGCTCAGATAATGCCAGGAGGCCAGGGTATGAGGCAGGGCCCAGCAAGGACAAAGGGGCATAACACTTTATCCTAAGAAGAATTAAGACCTTTTTTTCTCTATTTCATCAATAAATTGAAGAACTTTTGTTCCACTGTGGTCTTCTAGATGAAGACGAGTGAAAGATGGATGGAACAGCACCATCTTTTGATATGACTGAAAGCAAACTTTTAGAGGCAGGTTTGTTTGTTTTGTTTCTTTTCCTAATGAAGCAGCTGAAAAAAATTAACCTCTCAAAACCCAACATTTAAAAGCATTTATAAATAATAACTAAGAATGCAAAAAAATTACACTCGTAAAATGATTACCAATATAGACATGTTAGACATCGTTGGCAAACTTAGATTCTCCACAATTCAACCGCGTAGTTCATTTTATGGACATAGCGAGCACCAACGCACAATTATAGCAGCATGTCGAAATGTAGCATGACAAAGCAGCCACAAGAAGCACTTCTTTATTACTGCTGTTTAAAAAAGACCTATTATTTTTGAGAATAAAAAAAAACAACTTTGAGTCTTGTTTGAACTGATGCAGCTTGGGCTTGATGCAGTTTGGGTGTAAGCACTGCTAATCCAGCTCCTTTGAGCTTTATTGAAATTTCTATATGCTGTGGTAAGAAAGTTTTGCATACTGTAGATGCTGTAGTCAGGGATGTGATCCTGCAGCCGTGTTTCAATAGCATTGCTGATATTGAAGTTGTGTCCTTGCTAGGGCTTTGAGTTCTTCTAAATAATTTCCTAAATACATTAATAAGGAACTTGAAACTCTTAGAGAAAACAGAACTTGAAAACAAAACTACAGAAGTTGTGGAAAGATAGGATTGTTAACCTCAGAGGTCATCTGACCCCTCATGGATGTCACTTGAAAGGCAGACTTTTTATATTCCTCTAAAGTCACTCTTTCAGTTTGCAATCACATCCTTTCTGGTGCAACAGTATTTGTGTAACCTAACTAGGAACTTGAAGTTACAAAAAAACCCCAAAAAAACTAAGTTTTGTAATTGTAGAAAACCAATGTCACATGAATGTAACTCACATAGATATACAGCTGCATGGTATGGACTAAGGCCTTTTGCATGTTTTCTAATCTCGCTTTGTCAGTATCTCTAAAGTTATTTTCTTATCTAAGTAATAAGTTGGTCAGAATGATGGCTTTTATTTAAAATATGTTCATTGATTCTGTTACATTGCCAACCTTCATGTGTGTTTGAAATAAATTTGTACAAAATGACAAGAAGAGGTATGATTTTAATTAGCCAGACATCTTTAATGTGTGCAGAGTTTGTGCTTTATGTAATAAACTTTGATTTGAGTTTACTAATACAGGAGGCTAAACAAATAAGATTGTGCATATTAATGGTTTGCATCGGCTCTTATGATTAAGATGCTTCAACAACACTTCCTCTTAAAACATACATCTGATCCCAATTTCTCCTATTAATTAAACATTGTTCTATGCACTGCTCCTTAAGCAATATTTTGCATTAAAAACCTCCCTAAAGATCAATTTTACACAGTGAACTTCAAAAAATGCTGCAAATAGTGACCTCTAGTGGTCACTAAATTGTCATAACAAAAAAAGGTGACCTGCCAATTGTGTTTTGGGTTGCCAAACAAGGACAGCTTCAAAGATGACCTTATTTCCACGGCTGGATACAGTGGAGGATTACTCATGGGAGGGGTCTGTCTATTTTATAAAAACTCAATGCATCTTTTCATAAAGTCTGCAATTATCAACTCTTACATACACTGCTAATAAAAAAAATAATATTAAATAAAGAATGAAAGGTTTTTAAAAACGTGTCTCTCATTGATGGGCACAGAGCATTAATAATATTATGGGCCAACTTCTCTTCCAAAGACCTTGGAAACCTTGTTAGGATGTTAATGAAACAGACTCCTTGGAAGTCTAAAAAAAATGGCATATTATACCAACAAACTGGTTATGAGCAATCCAAAGAAGATTATGGGATCATTAATCCCAAAAGAAAAACATACTCAAGGTTTTTAAGGCTTTTTATTCATGATTATGGTTTTTTTTTTTATGTCAGATGAGAAACCATAGCGGAGATGGCCTGCAGTACCATCTTTCATCCACATACAACAGAGCACACCTCCCCAGGGAGTTCCCTTGGATTTGACACCCTCATTCATGTGACACAGAAAGCCTCAGAAGACAAAAGAACATGATCATGACAGCTGCATCTGAATGGAGCCCCAGTGCTTAACAATGTGGTCACTTCCAACCAAGAACTAAGAACTGAAGATCTCTGGGATGGGTTGAAAAGTTTTTAGACGTACAGGAAGTCCAGCTGCTTTAACCGTCAAGATAAATAAACCCCTCCACCATGGTGATTGCTTTGCATGATGAAAGTAATTTACTTTAATATTCATAAAAGTCGGAGCATTTGTTCATTTAGTAGCACACAAGTAAAACTGAGAAGAAAAAAAAAAAAAACATAAACATTATTTAAGAAAAATAAAGTAATTTAAAGTGATTTAGTTTAACATTATACAAATGCATGTACAAAAATTAGACCTCTATCATAATCTCTAGCAATTTGCTTTTATCCACCCATTCATTGCTTTATACACCCAGAGCTGAAGCTGAATTCAATAAAATGTTGGATCATTTTTAAAAATATAATATACATAAATATATATGTTTTGCAAAAATAAAGTTGTTTTTTTTTTTGCAAGTTTAACAAATATTTCCTGTGATCATTGATAAGCATCAACTGCTATCATCTTTGGGGTTTTTTCCAAACAGCTGCTTTTCTCAACTCAAAGACATGCTTTAAAAGACAGCCACTAGAGGGCAACAGAGTAATTTCAAAAAGTAGGACAGGAGACCATCTGTGCAGACAGACTTTTAAGAATTGTAGTTCTCTTAATGCAATTATTAATTAAGGTATTTTTATCTTTTCTTTCCAAAAAGAAAACACAAATGGTTTAAGTTCACACAGTGTTATTTTCTCCTTGTTTTGCTGCATTAAGAGTTTCGTCCTGCCCCTGATCTGTCTTTATGTTGCCCTCCATCTGCTCATCAGGCTGGGAAGGCTCCTGTCCCTTCTGCAAAGCCCCAGCAGGTTTGTCTTGTTCTGCTCCCAGATCCACTCTGCTGTCTGGGTCACACTGCGTCACATCAGCCTCCATCTTTTCACAGTCTTCCTCTATGTTTTCAGCTTCTTTTACAATAGCCAACTGCCCAGATTCAGCTTCCTCCTCCAGGTTCTCGAAGCCGTGGTCCTTGTCCCCATTTTCCTCTGGACTGTCCAGTTCACATGGAGACAGCTCACTTGCAGGACTTCCTGCCTCCTCTCCGGCTGACCTTCTGTGCTGTCTTGTGGGAGGACGCCTCTTGAATGATAATCTTGCACGAGTCTGTTTGGACAAGGTGATTAAGAGTGACAAGGGTATTTTTAGAAGCAGTGTAGCACATAATTGATCCACAACACACACAGTTTCAAAGTGTTTAATTTTCTAACCCTATTTTTTTTCCCCATTTAACCAATTTAATCTAGAGATACAGTCACCTGCAAAAAACTTCATACCTGTAGAACTTTTCCTAGTTTCAACAAAAATGTAGCAGGTGTAATTTTAAAGCTAAGGTTTTTTATCATTAATATTTTTAAGTAAAGTTACAAATAATTTGAAAAATATGGCATGTATTTTCTTTATGTATTCTTTTGCAAAACCAAAGTTCTTTGGAACCCCTAACTTCAAGTATTTGAGAGTGTGCATCTAAAATTTTGCAGATCTGGAGAAGATAATTTTTGCCCAACCTTCTTTCCGAATGATCTATGGCTTTGTCTGACTGGATGGATGGATGGATGGATGGATGGATGGATGGATGGATGGATGGATGGATGGATGGATGGATGGATGGATGGATGGATGGATGGATGAAAACCGATTTTCAAGAAAAGCCACACAAAAAAAAGCTCACATTGATTGTGCTTGCATCGTTTCAGTCAGTAAGTTTTCTTTGATCTTAACCAAATTGTTGTGTGGTTAGGGAGAATGTGTAGGGATGTGGTCCAGCTGGAAGAGGAGCCTCCTCACCTTTCAAGAAATGCCCTGCAGCCTCTGTTTATTTTTCTAGTGCTGCCCTTATTTAGCTCACTGTCTCAAGTGAAGATAAACCACAGCAAGGCAAGTTTTTTTGTATACCATAATTGATCATTTACACAATTGAGTATTTACAATATAAATACTGTTTTTCTAGAGAATAAATAATCAATAAACAGCTCTTGACATTCACATATCCCTTAATGTAAAAATGTCCACAGATACACAGTATTTATATTGTAAAAACACTGTACAGTGCAATGCTTTATTTGTTTATTTTCTTAACTCTGTGTCACTTATTCTTTTAGTTATATACACTTTTCTAAGGTTCAAATTGTGTGACCACTTTTGCTATAACCTTTTCCTGCTTCTGTAACAACACAATTTCCCCATTTTTGATAATAAAGTGGTTTTCTTTTCCATTAGATTCAATTCAGTACAAAAACAATTCAAAGTGCTTTACATGAATTTAAGAAATTACGCAGCACACATCTGCCCTTACAGTTCTCATTGGGGCTTGTGTCATTCAGTCGATGACCAGTGTTGGTTTCCTGTTACACATTGGGTTTGTGACATCATTCGCTACACAGTAATTTCAAACTTTGAAGAGGACATGTTTTGTTTTTATTCCTTTTTCTTTACACTCTTCAAAAAAGGCTGATTTTTTTTTTAAGTGCATAACCTGAAAATATATCCTCCTACCAGAGCTGTTAGTTTCTGCAGCTGCCCCAGAGTAACCTACTGTAGCAAATGTAGCTAACTTGTCAGTACAGACAGGACTTGAACTCTGTACTTGTTTGAGCTTTTTCAGCAGTATGCTGTGGGATGTTAATATAATTTTACATTCTCATATTGTTTTATAATATTCTAAAATTGGATACCTGACCTGTCAGTTGTTTGTTTATTGATGTTTTCTCGCCAATCACTTAACAGAACAACTGTTTTTATACTGTTTAGATCACACATAGTTGGGCTCTGTTTGCAAAGTTTAGTTGATTTCTGAATGTGATTAGTTGCACTGGATTTTATTTAAGTTGAGTTTTATACTGAAAGAGTCTGAATGTATGACACACTTCCAATTTTTATTTTATAAATGTCATCTACATGTTAGAGATGAAAGCTCTTCATCAAGGTATTGTGAGTCAACCAATCTACCATAATGTAGTTAAGAGAGCTTTGATATTAATGATTCCATTTATTACAAAGAAATTTCAATAATGTAGAAGCATATTATATCTCTTTTCTTCGATGTGCTTTAAATTTCAGAAAAACCTTTGCAAATTTTAAAATAAGTGTGTTTGAAAATGAGGAGGAACAATCAAAATAGAAATATGCATTGTTCAAGTGACCGAGTTTAGGTTTTAGCGTGAGCATATGATGACAATTGTTTCGTTTCTTTATTTTAAAATATATATTGTTGTTGGCAAAATACAACACCCTGCTATGAGTGCTTAGTTAATTTTGTCTATTTTTCATTCCCAAAAATAAAATATTGTTGTCATTTTCAGTTAACTATCTATCATTATTGTTTTTTTGTCCTATGATTTCTGGCAACGTTCCAAATCTGATTACTGTTTGCGTGAGAACACCCTGCCAATGGGAACCAGAGACTCCAACTAGGCTAAGTGGATTATTTCTTCTACCCACCATCTTCCTGCAGCTTATCTCAGACATGCTTAAGCACAACATGCATGCCGGCTGGTGAGAAGCGCTTAGGTGAGGAAAATGTGCATGTGCCTTGCTGTGTCGTCATAGCCCACTCATCAAGCAATGTGAGTAGCTCTTAAAGGGGGACGTTGTGTGACAGCAGCAAATTTTTGTTCAATATTTGTTTAAAAAAATATAGTTAGCAAGCAAAAAGAAAAAAGAAAAGAAAGTCAATTTAAGAGGTAAGGACAGATCTTACTCTGATGCACAGTATACAACTTACCCTGATGCAATAAATCATAATGAAATATATATATATATATATATCGCTTAGGAGAATTGTGCAATAAACACATAGACCATTCTGTGGTGTCCATGTTAGATTAATCTGCAGAGCATTAATGGGTTTACCTTGTTAAAGCTTGGCAGTGGGGTGCCTTCAGGTGGGCTGTCAAAGCTAACAGGATCCTCTTCTTCGCTGGACACGTGTGACGGTCGCAGGGTGGGACTCAGAGGTGTGGAGGGCGTGGAGGGGGACAGCTGTGCTGGCTGCAGCTTCACGTCCGGACCCTTGGGTGAAGGCAGCAGAGCCGTGGGTGACAGAGCGAGGTTAGCCTAAAGAGAAGGGTGCAATAGTAACTCTTTGGCAAATGCATAAATAAACTGTGATTTTGTCACTTGGTGTTTTACTGGAAACTTAGACAATTAGAAAACCTTAAGGTTTAATAATTTAAACATAAATAAAATAGGGTTTAGAATCAAATAAAAACAATATAAACAAATATAGAGTTGTAATTCTCATTCCTCCCATCTTAATTCTTACAAAAAATAAAAAGCTCAACTGATTACTTTTCAAAAGCTACAAAATAGATTGGAAACAATGACCTGTCAGTTGCCCCAGGAGATAAGAGCAGGGTTCCCATCTCCAGCCCTTCAGATCTACTGTCCAACAACTATAGCAGGCATCTCTTAGCCATCACACCTTGTTAAATTCCCTCATCAGGACATCATTCAGCTCTACAGAGGCTTTGTAACTATTCATTTGATTCAGGTGTGTTGGAGAAGGGATGCATCTAAAAGTTTTAGGACAGTGGCTCCTGGGGACTTGGGGCCCCCTGAGTTAAGATGGTGTCCTACCTCTACAGGAGAGAAGACGAAGAGAGAGAATCGGCAGCCCTTTTGTCCCATGGCTGCCCAACGTGGGAACTGAGGACTAAAGGTTCTAAAGTGACGAGTTCGAGGCTCACCACAGCCTCAGTGGACTAAGATCCTATTAGGTCATTAATCTGAGCCGATTGTGGCATCAGGGAAGAAAAGCACCTCCTCTTCCTCCTCATAATGTTATAAGCTATCGCACCAGTGGGGGGCAGTCATTTTTCACACATCCTTCTTCCAACTCAGGACTGCTTTAACATGTAACTGCTGAGTTATATGATGTAGAATAATAAAAGCATCTAATGTTGTACCTGTAGTTTCTCAATGAGGGCGGAGTTCTTGGTCTTTAAGGTGTTGGGAGAGACAGTTTTCTGGGGGAATAAAAGCAAAAGAAAAAGTTTTCTTTTACTGTATTTTTTAAATAAAAATTAGATCTATAATTCCCTCTAAACAAAGTTAACCAACCTGAATAATAAAAATAGTTTAATAAGAAATGGATGTGTTCCATGCATACATGTATATTTCATGCAATTTTCTTAAATAATAATAATAAAGTACACCTAATGAAAGAGACTTAGGTTTACTTTTTTCTGCTTCAAATGAGCTTAATGTCTTAATTCTGCACAAATGATGAACACAACCCTTTATAACCTTCAAAACAACAATGATATCTTAAAAATCTTCTCTGTAACTGACAGGAAGCCAGATATATGGGGCTGCGAGTGGAGTGAAATGACCTTTACTGCTTCCAGTGCAATAAAGGTCATTTACTAGTTCCAGTTAACAGCTGCACAGCAGCATCCTGCACCAGCTGCTAACATGAATGGATGGCTGAATGAAGACTGAACGTTAGTACTGTTAAGATGAATGTCCTTTCAAAAAAAGAGTTTCTTATTTTTATTAATTGGGACTTAGCCAAGGCCTGATAATTGAGAGTTTCTACTTTATTCTTTATTAGTTAGGATACTTTAGATCTGTAGTTTAAGGCTTGTTTACTAGTACCAATAACCATAGACTCGGCATTTTATTGACAAATACCTTAAGCATTGCAAATGTTTATGGTTAGAGTCCATAAAATATATCTACAATAGATATTTTCAATATTTTCCAGATAATCACAACAAAAAGTATCTCTAATCATATAATTGGGCTTCACTATTGTACTTTTCCATGCAGAACTAAAAGACGCCGTTTGATCATTTGCGTTGATCGACAAATTTATTGTTGGCTAGGTGATTAAACAAACCAAAAAAAAACTTTCAACAGTGGAAACTCGTCACTCACATCTGTCACTTCCTTATCTTGGGTAGGATTTTGCAACTTTAGAGAACAGGGAGGTCTTCCTCGAAAAGGAAGCTGCAGGAAGAAACAAAAAGGAGAAAATCATATGTTAAAAGCAGGTGACAAGGCAAAAAGTAGAAGGTGTTTCATTATTATTATTATTATTTTCATCATAATAATTTTTAGTTTGTTCCTTATTAGACAGTTACCTCTTTATTTGAGTTGGGCGTTGGTAAAATGTGACCCTTTAACTTTCCAGCCAGTTCAGCCACGGATGGAGAATCCTTCTGGAAACCAAACAGAATGAAAAACAATTTAAAAGGATATTTCATTTGAGGCTTACAACTTTTAAACACTTGAAAGTTCTGCAACATAAGTGATGTTAGGTCTAATTTTTTAACTTCTTTGTTTTATATCCTTCATCCAATTGGGCCTTTTTGAAAGTAAGAGGCTTTCTTTAATTTTTTCAGTAGATCACGGTGAGGGCTTCAGATGTGAGAAAGTTATTTTCCAGCATTAAGAAAAAAAATATATAAAAGACCAAAACAAAAGAAACATCCATATCATCTTTACCAGAGTAGGATTAAAACTTTTGACCTGCAAACCAAAGTCAAGCCCTGAATCATTGTGAAAAGCAGGACCAGTGCTAAGGAGTTGTCCCCAGAATCAGACAGATATGAAAAGCTTTTGCAAAGAGCACCATACTTGTTATTTTCCCATTGAGCTCCACAGGTTATGTGTCATATCAAACTTGGAAAAACATCATATCAACTATCCTCCATTCATAAAGAGCAAACATTGTAAAAACCATGCATAGACTTTTAGATCCATTGCATAATTATTTTATTAATCAAACAGAAGTTTGTCAGTTATTCTTTTTAGCAGAAAAGTACTACATAACATTACTATTCATTTTCCTTAAACATTTTGCTGTGTTAAAATACAGACAAAATCCCAGAAGTGTCCCTGAGAGGTAATTGTTTTACTTAATGAAAGAACATAACAGATCCCTTTTCTGCACTGAATTCACAGAAAACTTCAGAACAACGCTGATATTCTCCAGAAAAAGATGTTTCACTTCTCCTCCTTTAAAGAAAGCAGACGACTTAAGAATACAGACATGAGGAAGAAAGAATTCTAGCAACAGTTTGGGCGCCGTCCTGGGAGGAACTCACTTGAAGAGCGACAGGAAGTGAGCCCTTCACCCTGCAGCTGGTCAGCATCATGCTGCAGCCTGTGACAGCAGGGATCTGTGTTTGCGGCTTCAAGCTGATCGACCTCATCGTTTTCTTTGTCTCCTGCTTTTCCCAAGCTGATCTCCTCCACACTTCCCTTTCAGAGCCAGTAACTCTGTTCATATCTAGGCCCCATTGATAAGTCGGCGTCAGACCGGAATGCAATCAAATTTTAGCTTTAAAAACCATCTGAGTGTTTTTACTTTTTTTTATATTGTGTTTAAACAGAATGCATTTTAAGTTTCTATTTAAACTGCTCCAAGCTTGTGGAAATTCACGTGCATCATAATGTCAAATGATTTGCATCTTTGTTGCGAAGGCCTCTCTCTTTCCCTTTGTAGCTTTTACTCTACATCACATTTCCATTTTACTTTTATACATCATTAAGAAACTCGTGCCCGTCTGCTCACAGCTGCCAGTTCTGTTGTGTTTCCTGACTGGGCATTTCCAGTCCGTCATTCCCTTCACCTCCTCTCTGCACACTTTGGAGCAGCAGCCATGAAAACATGGGTCTCCCATGCGTCACATACCACATCTTGATCATTTTTTTCCCTTTCCTCTCTTATTCTCAACATGACCTCACCGCCTACCTCCCTCCACCCAAACACAGAACCTGTAGTGCGTCTGCTTTGTTTTGTCCCGCTCCAAATCCAAACCCTTTTCCTCAACTCTCCTGCCTCCTGTTTGATAAGCAGTAATTACCACTGCCCCCACCCCATTATTTTGCAAGCTACGATTGTTAACTCTTTCCGCATTGTGAGAAAACCCAAATCACAACTTTACAGGCAAAGGAAGTATGGCTCTTTGTTTTAGTGGTCCGTGAGATGTTTGGGGTGAAAACATGTTTTGTCATTTGGAAAATGTGTAGATCACAGAATGTTAAAATGGCCCAAAAGGGGTGTGAAAAGTTTAAATTACTGACACCATGTCCAATCTGATTGAACTTGAGTTATTTTGCAAAAAAAAGTTGAGAAAACATTTTGGTCTCTAACATACAAGGCTGATAGAGAAATGTCACAAAGACTTGCAGCTACAAATAATCTTTACCTTGATAATTATGCATTGTTTTGTATTGGTAAATGGTGAATATTTACTTCTATCACTTGCTGCAAAGTATAGCATATTCCCCACTATATTAAACAAAAACCAATATGTTTTCTTTTGATATTGGATAATCCACTAGACCCTGATTGAAATGCTTTAGTTCTATTGGACAGTCATTTCTAAATTTCTGACTTATTTTTTGATCATATAATTTAGCTGTTGAGGCTTCACTCTAACAAAAAACTGCCCCTCAGGAGCCCAGTAGAATTTAACTGAAATGCAAAAAGATTTAGTGGGCTAAGCCATTCTTTAAGCATCTGTATTGACCGGTACGGAAGCCCTGAAAGGCAAGAGAAGAAAAAAAAAATTCTGGAAAAGAAAAGTTTTAAGTTTTTGTTTATTTTCTGACCTGTAAGTCAAGAGAAAAAAGAAATTCTGGAAAAGAAAGGTTTGAAGTTTTTTTTCCTTGTTTTATTTTCTGCCCAGAAAGGCAAGTAAAAAAAATAAAAAAATAAAAAGTAGAGAGGCCCGGTTTTTAAGAATCAAAAATTAGATTTTTGCTAAGTAAAATTATATGCAAATAAGGTACAAAAACTGTGTATTTATTGGCCATGGCATTTGGTTATCATAACAACCTTGTATTTTTATGAGCAATAGAGAATTATTTGCAGGGTCGATCCAGCATATTTGCAGGACAACATCATAAGTGCTCTTTCTTCGCATCAAGAAAGTATTTCCCAGATAACCTTAGACTTGCTGTCAGTCAGTGCTTATCATATGTTAACTTCAGTAAGACATGGGTTTAAGAAATAATGTGGCAACAATTTAAATATGAAACCTTCAATTAATATCTTTATTTATGCAGTTATTTTAAAAAAAAAACTTCTAACTTTTTTTCCCAGATTGTTTCTCTCTCTTGCCTTTCAGACCTGTAACTATTGGCAAAGAAACAAACTGAATATTCATGTTTCTCCTAATCAGTGCTAGTCATTTATTAACAAATAAAGAGGCAATGCACTCACTTTCTGAAAAGTTAGAACAAAAGGTTTCATTCCAAGTGTTAACTTATTATTAATATGTTCATAGCAATTTATTGTTATCTATCTTAAAATACCACAATCTCTCAAGCCCCCTTTGAGTAAGCATCAGTACATTTCTTTCTATGTGATGAGAAAACAGTAACTCAACTTTGATCTGTCCACAATCAGTTTAATATAAACTAAATAGTAAATACTAAATTAAAAACAGGAGGATAAATATAGTAATAAAAACTGCAAGGTTCAAATTGTACAATTTGTCCTTTATGTCATTCAAAAACATACATTTTGCTGCATTCATGAACAATGTCTCTCACTGTTACTGAGAAGACAAAGTCTATAGGAATAAGCCAAATATGGGAATCAAGACTTGCTTATCAGTAAAGCACATGTTTCATTTAGCTGGGACCCCAAGCTTGACTGAGAAAGAGTGGGAAACTATGCTTCTGTACAAGAGAGATCAGCTCAGACTATTTTTGGGGATCAATGCCTGGGAAAAAGCCATAGAGCTGCTCAAACAGCTCTGCTCTATAACCCCTCTCCTCCTTCGAGAGTGTCCCTGGAAATGTTAGACCACATCAGAAGCATGCCAGAACCCAACATATGGAACAGTTAGCATGTCTAAACAAGAAGACACTCAAAAAGGACTTGTTCAGCCATGCATGTCAAGTTTTATTCAAATAATCGGACAGGTGAAGTCATGACCTTTCTGAACATCAATGGAGTTATAAACAGTTTCGGAATTTTAAACGTCACCCTGAACCCATTATCCCGACGGGGAATGGTAGTGGCACCGACATGCTGTGGGGAGGCTTTTTATTTCAAAGGAATAGAAGTTATTCAGAGTTGATGGGAGATGAATGGAGCTAAATATGCGGCAATACTGGAAGAAAACGAATGACCACAGACTTAAGACGTCCTTTCAGTGAGACAGCAACTCTAAAGCTCAGGCCTATCTGACTGAGCTATGTTAGAAATAAAAATTGGCAAATATTTCAGTCTCTGTATTTTCAACATACCCCCCAAAAAAACGTAAAGATAGAACTGCATCAAAAGGATACATAATACAAATACATGCTGCACTGTAAATAATGATGTTCACTAACGGAATTTAAAATCATGTAGAATCAATGCTACACTTATTAACTTACACTCATAAATAATAAACTTACTTTATAATGGCCATTGTTTATATGGTAAAAATATTAAGCTAGGTCTTGATAGATTAGGAAAACAAACTTTTTGTTTAATTATTGGGTCTTTGTCATGGGTGAGATCATGAATATCATTTCTAAAAATATTATTCATATTTTACATAATCTTCAAAGCTAAATGCAACATTTTTAGAGAACAATATTTTTGGTTTGGCTCTCAAATCACTAAAATTATATTCAAGGGGGGGATGTGCTGCCCCTGTGAAATATAGGCTGCACTATGAACAGTTTAAGGATCAACAACCATTACCTGACCTGGGCTGCTGAGCGCTATCTGTAGACCAAAACAAGATGTGCAACACTATACACCTTTAATTATGCATATTTACAGCATCACCTTTTGGAGGAACATGTTTTGTAAAGAGGGCTGTTCAGTGGGGCAGTTGGTAGCACTGCTGCCTTGGGTTTGATACCTGGCCTGGGGTCTTTCTGCATGGAGTTTGCATATTCTCCCTGAGCATGCGTGGGTTCTCTCCGGGTACTCCGGCTTCCCACAGTCCAAAAACATGACTGTTAGGTTAATTGACTTGTCTAAACACCTCCTTAGGTGTGAGGGTGTGCGTGAATGGTTGTTTGTCTCTGTGTTGCCCTGCGATGGACTGGCGACCTGTCCAGGGTGTACCCCGCCTCTTGCCCATTGGCTGCTGGAGATAGGCACCAGCACACGGGACAAGCGTGTCAGATAATGGATGGATGTTTTGTAAAGAATTAGCTAATTTTATAATGCTCTTAGCAAAAAAGCATTGATGTTCTCTTC